TCTCTCTCTCTCTCTCAGTGTGTGTGTGTGTGTGTGTGTGTGTGTAACTAGTACAGATTTTTTTTACACACTCCTACATACAGATTTAATTGAGTTCTTTCATAAGTTGCAGTGGCTGCTCTAAAATATGAAACACCAATGTTTCAGTAGTTTCTAACATGCTTATCAGATAACTCTTATATTTCCTATAGGGTTTATGTATATGCTTTATTTTTTTTTAAGATGAACTGTTTTTTTCTAAGGCATTGTTAGATTCCAGTGTTTCCTGTCATAGCTATGCAAAGATTTGATTTCAAAAAGAGTATCATAGCTATTAAACTATTTCTTATGATTTTAAATATGTATTGAACCTCGGAATGATTTAAAGCAGTGGTTCTCAAACCTGTCCTGGACTCCCCCCAGCCCTGCACATTTTGTATGTCTCCCTCATCTATCACACCTGATTCAACTCATCAGCTCATTAGTGGAGACTGCAAGACCTGAAGTGGGTGTGTCAGATATAGGGAGACATACAAAATATGCAGTGCTGGGGGGTACTTCACGGAGAGGTTTGAGAACCCCTGATTTAAAGTAAGTCTGGATTTGTGGTGGCTGTGCTTCAAAGGGGCCATCGAATGCCCATTTTCCACAAGTTGGTATGATTCTTTAGGGTTTTCTTGAAATGGTCTCAGTGGTCGTATAAAACAACACTTTTTACCTTGTCAAAAACAGCTCTGTTCACAGCGACTCGTTTCGGTGCATTTCTCTTTACATGCTAATGAGCTCTGCTCACCCCGCCCCTCTCTTCTGTGGAAGAGCAAATGCGATTAGCAAATAATCATAAAAATAAAAAATAAAAACAGGGGAACAGTTGGGGGTTTGGTGTCTTGCTCAAGGTTCTCACCTCAGTCGTGGTATTGAAGGTGGAAGAGAGCGCTGGTATTCACTCCAAAATCAAAATGGCTTGATAATTGAGACTGTTTAGGTTTTTGGGGGATTTAAAATAAGGAGTGATTTTTTTTATCATTGTAGGGTGGTTATGTCCACACACTGCTAAGACACATTTTTATATGCAAATGAAGATATTTTGCATCCAATGTCTTCTTTAAAATTAAAATATTAGTCTTAATTCAAGTGATGAAGGATTTTGAAAGTCTGACAGTGTTCAGTGTTGAGCACATACTGTAAGTTTAACCCTGCCTGGTTTACATGTTTGAAAATGATTAACCGTTGAAAACGTTAGAAATTTTGAAAAGTAATCAAATGTAATCAGTTACATTACTTTAATATAGTAATTGAAAAGTTACACTACTTATTACATTTTAAGTAGGGTAACTTGTAATCTGTAACCTATTACATTTCCAAAGTAACCTTCCCAACTCTCTGTATGTGCATGCATGCGTCCGACCGACCCTGGACCACAAAACCAGTCATAAGGGTCCATTTTTTTAACACATAATATGAAAGCTGAATGAATAAGCTTTCCATTGATGTATGATTTGTTAGGATAGGACAATATGTGGCTGAGATACAACTATTTGAAAGAAATAAGAATATTGAGAAAATCACCTTTAAAGTTGTCCAAATGATAATGTTGATGTTCTTAGCAATGGATATTACTAATCAAAAATTCAGTTTTTATATATTTACAGTAGGAAATTTATTAAATATCTTCATGGAACATGATCTTTACTTAATATCCTAATGATTTTGGCATAAAAGAAAAATCGCCACTGGGGGTCAGTATAGGCTCAGCAGAGACTAACTTGAAAAGTATCTTACTAAAGATAAGAAAAACTTTAAATAGTTTCTCATGAAAACCTGTTGCAGAATAGTACAAAACCACAACGTTAACCAGTCTGGTGCTTCAAATAATAAACTCTCTTCTCCACTTCAGTGGCCTCACATAAATGAATTCGGTCAAGTGTGTCTGATGTTATAAGAGACTACCCGAAATTCTTAATTGGGTCACATTCCAGCTAACAGGTATAACTCCTTTCTGAGTGGCACCTGGGTCTCTCTGAAGGGAATAGCATGCTCAGTGATCAAGAGAAATGTACGCTTTTGTTGCTAGATGGCTGGGCCATTGAAGTGAGAGCCATTGAACTCTGTCTGACATCCAGATTACAGCACTGCTGCTGCTCGGGGTTTCCAGTGAGCAGTTAAACTGAATGAGAGAGCCAGAGACAGAGAAAACAGTGTCGTTCCCACCAGGTTACGCGAGGGCATGTTCTGTCCCGCTTCACTCATTAGAACATTTCCACAAGTACCCCTGGCGGGTTTGGTGAGAAGCCTCGGGCGGCCAATTTAATTAAAACTACAGCAGGTGGAATCGGTGTATTCACAGCTTTTGGTGGTTACTTGGACACTTTGGTGGCATTTTTTTCTTATCCCCTTCATTTCTCACCCTTCTTTGCACCTTAAATGCATGAAATCCTCAATCATGAAGTACCCTAAAGGAATAGTTCACCCAAAAATGAAAATGTATTCACCCTCAGGCGATCCAAAATGTAGTTTATTTCTTCATCTGAACAGGGGTGCATTTCCCAAAAGCATCGTTAGCCAACTATGGTGGTTCGTTCCATTGAACTCTATTGGTAACGATGGAACTTGCGACCATAGTTGCTTTTGGGAAACGCACCCCAGATTTGGAGAAATGTAGCATTACATCACTTGCTCACCAATGGATGCTCTGCAGTGAATGGGTGCCGTCAGAATGAGAGTCCAAACAGATGATAAAAACATCACAACACTCCACAAGTAATCCACATGACTCCAGTCCATCAATTCAAGTCTTGTGAAGTGAAAAGGATTTTGTAAGAATCAAATCCATCAAGGTGTTTTAACTTTAAACCATCGCTTCTGGTCAAAATACCAGTCTATAATACATAAAGCTTCCTCCAGTAAAAAAAAAAGTCCATCCCCTGTAGTTCTTTCACATCAAAATCCACTAATTTTGCTTAGACCGTTTATTTTTTATAGTTTACATTTTTTGCTTGTTTTCTATTTGTTTAAAACAGCTTTTGGATTGTTTTTCACTTGTAAATGGTGTTTGATTAGTGCGTATTTCTGGATTCGGGTAAGACTTTTTGCTAGAGAAAGCAATATTACGGATAAAGGACTCACATTTTAGCTGGAAGCAGTGTTTCTTAATAATGGATTTGTTTCTTACATATATGTAGCTTTTGACTTCACAATGCATTAATTGATGGACTAAAGTAATAAATTATTTGTGCATTATTGTGGTGTTTTTATCATCTGTTTGAACTCATTCTGACAGCACCCATTCACTGCAGAGCATCCATTGGTGAGCAAGTGATGTAATGCTAAACTAGTCCTTTTTAACGGTTTGGAATGTCCATAAAACTCTACCTTTTGTCCCCTTTTTATAGACAATCAAGTTTTGGCTTTTGGACAGCTTGTAAGCACATCCAACACTTACGAGGACCACGACCCCAAAGGAGGCAGAAAACCTGTAACGGTCACCACAGACAAGCCACTTCTATGGAGCATGGGAATTAAACCACTGTGAACAAAGCACCAAGCCTTTAAAATGTGCCTTTTCCTCAGCACTAACAGCCTTTTATTAATGAAGACAATGAGTAGTGTAACCTTTGATTTATTAACACAGCCAAATATAAATGTCAACGCGCACAAAAAACATGATTTATACAGATTTCCGCATTCAGTCCATCGTCCATCATCCAACACGGTTTCAGGCAGCCGACGATCTGTTTGGCCTCACAATGCAGCTGATTCAACCACCGCTGTTAACAAAAAACAATCATGATTTAATCAAAGACAATCAAATCAAAGACTGAATGAAACAAAATGTCTGTTCAACAGGCAATTTGCTCAATTTTATATGCACTGTAGTATTAGACTATCATGTTTATGTAATCAATGTTTTTTTCATATTACTTGCAATAAAAGGCTGAAATACAATGTTAATCGTGTGTTTTTGTGGATTACTTACACAATGATGTTGTTGATGGGGATGTGGATGAGTTTGACAAAGAATCCAATAAAGCCCATAATGGCAAATCCAATTGCTGTTGCCATGGCAATCTTTTGGAATTCTAGAGCAGGAAATAAAAAACAAAATTAAGCTATTTTATTATAAATGTGAAACAGACTTAAGTACATGCAATGTTAAATATGCTCAAAAATAAACTAAAAACAATAAACTTAGAAATATTCCATTTTTATTTTCTCTTACAAACTTTACTGTCACACCATTTTCCTCTGAAACGGCTGTCTATTTATTAGATGTTTCTCTTATATTATCTTTACCACAGCCAATATCTTTATCACAAACCATTAATCTGCATTCAGCTCAAGAGACCTTAATAAAATGTAGACTTCCATACATAATTCTAGCATCAGTACTCCTGAAGTTTCTTTATGCTGATCAATTCTTTGAATTAAAACGACAAAAGACTGGAATGACCTTTTCGATCAGGCTTTGTGCATCTTTTCACGAGTCTGATGGAGTCCTTGACGAACTGCCTGCTGGGCTCCACGAACTGCATGATCTGATCCATCCTGATGTGAGGCTGGAGAGAGAAGACATCAGAACATTGTAACTCCCAGATGTGAACTACAAACACTAAACATCCTCAGAGAACAAAACACGAATCACAACCAGACCTCTGCATCGCTACATCAGCATCTCACGGGAAAGAGAACATTTCACAGAAACCAGTTAACGTAGATGCTTTATACAGGTTTCACTACGTATGAATTTATTAGACCCAGATACCCTTCACCCAAAACCCAAGCATCTGGAATCCAATCTACTCACAAGCTAGTTTGTCAAATATATTCTCAAAAGGTGCCAGTTGTTAAACCCATAACTTTGTTAACTAACTAAAATATATTTAGTGACCAATGACTATAATCTATAGATTGGCTAACTAGCACTGTTAGCCTGCATGCTGCGTACTTTACACTAAATAAAAACACTTGCAAAGGAACCATTTCTTAATTGATAATTGAACATAAGCATCTAAACGTTAAATATGAGATACCCTTCACCCAAAACCCAAGCATCTGGAATCCAATCTACTCACAAGCTAGTTTGTCAAATATATTCTCAAAAGGTGCCAGTTGTTAAACCCATAACTTTGTTAACTAACTAAAATATATTTAGTGACCAATGACTATAATCTATAGATTGGCTAACTAGCACTGTTAGCCTGCATGCTGCGTACTTTACACTAAATAAAAACACTTGCAAAGGACTTTGAGAACCATTTCTTAATTGATAATTGAACATAAGCATCTAAACGTTAAATATTTTTAACTCGGACTAAGAAAGTGGTCATATCTGATCAGTTAGAAACAGTGTTTACGCTCAAACTCACCGACCACAGCAGACACGTCCTCAGTAAGACACGGAACCGTATTATTACCTTATTTTAAAACGGCATTCTTTACGTTATACCAGCATAGACTACTAAACACGCAAAGTCGACGAAAAGAAGCTTACCTGTGTTGACAAATCAAAGAACGAAGCAGTGGTTCAGCAGCAAGCAACAAACTAACTCCGCTGTGTGTGAACTAAGCCACGTAGATTTAACTGCGGAAAGACTGACGCAGCGTTAAGAGTGACGCATGCACGCATGCGCGCTCGCTCCCAACTCCTGCGCACAGTTGACGTGCTCGCTGCCATCTAGCGACTGGAGTTTAGCGCGCAACGACTTGTCCGCATTCTCATTAGTTGTGTAAGCTGTCTATCGGTCTGTGAGGATTGTTACATGGATTCTACCATAAGCATTTTCAAACAGTTTATCCAAACATGATACAACGAGGTACTTCATGTGCTTTTGTAGAATTTTACGCTTACACTTAAGCTAGGTTTCATTTTACAAAGCTCCAAAGAGGATGTGGTGATGGAGGGGAAACAATGAAATTCCAAGGGTAGGAGCCTAGTCATTCAGTCCTGTCAATCATCATTACGAGCCTATATATAAGCAGCTCTCATTGCACCGTCACAGCATCAATTCTTCCGGCATCCCTCCACCTCCCCAGCTCCCCCTCTATTTCTCTAACTTCAGCCTCGGGTTTGAGCCTCCATTAAAGACAGCAAGCCAAGTTAGTTTACCATTAACCATCAAGAACAGATGGGCAGGCGAACTCGCTCGCAAAATACAATGTTTGTGAACACAAAAGGTTTGTGAGCGAACTTAAAGTTTTACGAGTGAATGCAAAATGTCTAGAAGAACGCAAACGTTTTGTGAGCCAACACAAAATCATTCAAATATTTTTTTAATGATCATCTTATATTTTAGCCATCGTCCATTTACTATTGAGCCCCCAAAACTTTTGCGTTCTCTCGTGAAACCACATTATATCGTTCACAAAGTATAGTTTTTCTCCCACATCATTCCAAATGTTTTCTGAGTAAATGCAAAGTTTCTCAGGGGAACGCAAAGTTTCACGGGGAAACGCAACATATTTGTGAGATAGCGCAAAATCATCAAAATTTTCATCCCATTTAATTTGATTTACCATCCCCTTTCTCGGGGGAATGCAATACTTTTGTGAGAGAAAGCGAAAACGCATTGAAATACATTTTTTCCTTACATCTGCTTGTTTTTTTCATCACCATGTCTCCTTGGGGGCTTCGTACTTTTATATGCTAGCATGAAGGCAAACATCCTGTGAAAATAAGCTTCAGATTAGCAGTTTTGCTTAGTTCATTAACTGTGGATATTACAGCAGCTCATCGGCAAAAAGAAACAAATGCAAATAAAAGATAAAAGATTTAATAGACCAAAATACATTTGAATTCATAGCAGTTCATTATGTCTACTGAAATTATCACAGAATAGCCAAGGATAAGAATATTAAAAAGAGTATTCAATGTACAATATAAAACAGTGCATTCATTCAGGCATTGTATGAACACTACAGTTTCCATTATCTATGACATTAGTCCAAAAGCTTTTATTCCGCTTTTATAACAGTGTCACTGAGAGGATTGCTCCATCAGTCCCAAGTAATGCCAAGCATCTGACAGCTGAGCTCCCAGAGTTTCTGAGCCATTTCATCATCTAAAGCTTCGCTTGAACACTGTGCTGGAGCACAGTCGCTGGAAACAAAGCAGATTCTCAGGCTTATGGATGGCACTGTCTTAATGAGCATTAATATGACTAAAATCATTTCTATATTGCATGATTAACACATTTTATAATCTTAAAAAAATTAAATGGTGGACATCTTGTGTGCATATCGGGAGAGTAAACTGGACTAAGAATTCTATTAAAATAATTGTTCTGTACCTGTAATATCCTCCACTCTCATTGTCCAGCTTGGGCTCCACAGCGCAGTAGATGGTGGTCTGGGCCCCCTGAATAGTGGTCTTGGTGAAAGGGCTGAAGACCTTGACTGCTATCTGCACAGGCTTGCTGAGGTTCCTAAACAGCTCTGACTGCACCACACCAGGATGGAGGGAGTACACAGTCACACCACTGCCTACAAACACAACCATCACCATATTTTTCTATCAGAGCTTGCAGATGACACACTAGCGAACAAATGATTAAAGCAGTTGAAATAAGTATTTTCTTCTTTTGTACTGCCATGATTAGTAACAGAATTGTTTTAATAGAAATAAGTCTGTTCATTTAAATTCAAACTTTCATTAGTTTACATTGGAATTTCCCTTATAAAAAGTGTTGCAGTGGTACAATGGTAAGTGATGGTGACAAATATTATAATAATGAATGTACCATGGTTTTAACATGCTAAACTACATTAAATAATAGATGTTCAAAAACATGATATTGCCACGGTGTATAATCTAGAAAGACACGGTACCTTTTCAAAGAAAATATAATGGCCATATTAATGGTATTTTTAGATTTTTTTTTCATACATGGTATATTTAGATTTATTCATTTAGGAATCAAACTACAGAGTGCATGTGTTTTTTTAGTATCATATTTGATATAATCAGGATTTCATGACTCATATTGTATGATATAAGAGAATATGGAGCTCATAATCTGGAAGGAAAAAACACCTTAAATGTTATTCAGAGGCCCAAACTGAGCAATATGCAAATCAAATGTAAATCATGCATGTAAATCAGTAAGCTCTTTATAACAGAATAGCAAACTAGTTACATAAAATGCACATAAATATCAGTTGTAGCAAACCATTGTAATGCAATGCAATATAATGATAATTGAGAAATAAATGTTCCTTATCAGCCCATGTGTCAAATTCGATATTTTAAAAAAAGAAAAAAAAATATGTATGTGCAAGTAAACCTAAGTAGCTTCACTTGTTTAAAGTAGTTTTTTTTAGTATCATATTTGATGCATCAGGCTTTTATGACTCATATTGTATGATACAGGAGAAAATGGAGCTCATACTCTGGGAGAAAAAGTATAAACTATCAATCAGATGACAGAAGGCATGTAGCAGATTCAAACAGATTAAAACCGTATTATTTCGTTATATTCTTTACTACGATGCTGTTAGAGAATTACATTTTTACTAGAATTACTGGTGTAGATATGAATTTCATGCGCAATGTCTGCGGTGTGATCCCTCTGTGGCCCTTCTGAACAGATCACAGTGTCATCTGTTATTTGATTTTGAGTTTGAATTGTCACATGAATGACAATCAGTGACAAGCACAGAAAACAGGACATTCTCCACATGCTTAGGACAGTCCTGCATCCTAAAGGAAACAGTCTGAGACAAATACAAAGATCAGTTGTGACCACCTCTGCCCTGTGTCCCGGCTTTGATTGTGTTTATGTAGTCTGACAGATGTCTGCGGTGTGATCCCTCTGTGGCCCTTCTGAACAGATCACAGTGTCATCTGTTATTTGATTTTGAGTTTGAATTGTCACATGAATGACAATCAGTGACAAGCACAGAAAACAGGACATTCTCCACATGCTTAGGACAGTCCTGCATCCTAAAGTCTGAGACAAATACAAAGATCAGTTGTGACCACCTCTGCCCTGTGTCCCGGCTTTGATTGTGTTTATGTAGTCTGACGGGAAAAGATTGCATTTAATGTCACGTTGTACTCTCACGAATACCAAATCAAGCAGAGTTCAGGAGAGAGAAGACAAACACGATATTAGTTTGTGTTCTTAAGGGTCATGTTTAGTCTGACATGGATAACCTTGCTTTGAAGGTCACATACCCTGCAGTCTTTTAGCCAAGGAGCGTGTGCAGAGGATGTTAGCTAGTTTGCTCTGGCCGTAAGCCCTCCGTGGAGAGTAACCCTTCTCACTGTTTATGTCATCCAGATGGATGCTGCCCCACGTATGGGCCACAGAAGCCACGTTGATGATCCTGGAGGGGGCTGATTTCTTTAAGAGGTCAAGCAGAAGGTAGGTGAGCAGAAAATGACCTGTTGGTGGATTGGAGAAGATAAAAATAGTCAGGGGTTGTTTGTCCTTTCATTGTCTCTTCTGTCCTGTTGATGCCCCTGTGCATTGTCTGTTACTCAATAAATGCATGGAAGTGGATGTATGTGGAAAGGATGTATACTATACGTGAGTGTTTAGGTTCCAACAGGAAGTCAAATCCTGCTGATAAAATGATTAAACAGCATGCGCTGTCTATTTAGAGGGTCACTAGTCTGAGACCTCCTGTGTGAAACAAGGTTGCCTTATAGGATTAGTTTATAAACAAACATAATCTGTGCTTAATTTGTCACTTTTTTGGATCAAATTATTTTACTGGTTTACTGGCCAGACCAAGTATTGATTAGATACAGGAAATCTAATTTTACTGAGAGTCTTAATTCTTCTTGGGTCATAATTAGTGTTTAAAACAAAATGCTGATAAACTAGTTAATAATAACTTGAAATAGTTTTTTTATATGTAAAATTGCCTCGGTTTTGGATGTTAAAATAGAAATAGACATTTGGATGCAGTATGTGCAGATATGCACACTCACACTACCTTTCAAGATTTTAGAGTCAGTAATTTTTTTATTAAATAAATTCATACTTTTATTCAGCATGGATTCATTAAGGACTGTCTGTGTGTGTTTTGCTCCCCGTGACCCAGTTTCTCCTCGTGTTAATTGTGTTAATTTGATATTGATTCCATGCACCTGTGTTTATTAGCCCCAGTCTGTGTAGTCGCCCTTTGTCGGTTCTACTCGTTGGATGTTGTGTAATTCCCCTGTGTTTCTTGGCTTAAAGACTGTTTATGTACTCCATGTCTCCTTGTTCCGCGCTCCTCCCAGCACAGATTGTGACTCTCTCTCTCTCTCTATATATATATATATATATATATATACACACACACACACACACACACACACACACACACACATACATACCTTGCTACGTGTACTGCGGCTAACCGAGACTTGTTATTTGCACTTATATATTGTTGCTCTTTTGTTAGTTTTGACTGCTTTTATTGTCCTCATTTGTAAGTCGCTTGGGATAAAAGCTTCTGCTAAATGACTAAATGTAAATGTAAATAGTGTATGCATGTAAACACATTCTTTCATATTGTAAAATATAAAGTAACATTACCTAAATGGTTAACACCAAACTGCATCTCAAAGCCATCTGCCGTTTTTGAATATGGGCACATCATGATTCCAGCATTGTTGATCAGGATGTTGACTTGCTTTTCCTCTAAAAAACGCACAAAAAAAATGTATAAAGGCCCATTAACAAATTGATATTATATAATATTCTATTAATACTAGTATTTCAAAATTGTATAGATATATTATGTGTTTAAATCAAATAATCAAAACATACCCTTGTTTATGAGTTCTGCAAAAGCTCTGATGGATTTGGTATCTGATAAATCAAGTTTGTTCGCCACAATGTTTTGGTTTCCAGAATCCTCTATTAATTCTTTTCTGGCTGCTTCTGCTTTTTCCAGATCTCGACAGGCCATGACGACTCGAGCCCCTGAGGACATCATCACAAAGAGAAGCTGATATTAATGTGCAAACAGTCATGGAAGATTTCACACGAAACAGAGCAGACATCCATCATGGATCTGAAATAACTGTGTTTACATACTCCAGCAAATGTCCTTGCTCTGAAATGTCCTTGCATAATAATTAATTTGGTGCTAAACTAGGATGTAAGGCTGATGAGCTAACACAATAGCTGTTTGCCTGATAATTACTGTGCAGAACGTCTATTATACTATTCAGAGCAATTTGGCTGGCAAGCGTCAGAGTTTCTTTGTTGGAATTCAGCGGGTCCATGTGGGAAAGTGTACGGTTTTACATCTCTTTGGCAGATAGTATTGTAATCCTGTCGTTTATTTATCAGCACGCATTCAAAGCTTCCAAGACCCTGTCGCTCTTATAAGATGAATTATTTGTTGTTTTGATTGCATAACATTTGACATTGGGACAATGGGTATGATTTACCCTTGCATTTGTTATTTTCATCCCAGATTATGATGATTTTATGCCATATTAAAAAGAACAAACTACAATGAATATGCATCCAAGATAAAGCTATCAACTGCAACAATAGTGCCAATATGATGTGATAGACTGCAATTATTCCAGCTAACCTCTCTATACCCTCTTCTAGTTAGAGTGGCATCACACATGGCATGGTTTTTTCCCATAACAGGTTGGCAGTTGATGCTGTTCACAGCATGTGCAGTAAACGGAACAAATCAGATCATTCAGAGCGTTTTTTTTTTTCTTTTAAGGTCAAGACCGTGTTGAGACGTAACATGTCCTGAGAACTTACCTCTTTTTGCAAGGTCTCTCGCTGTCTCTTTGCCAATGCCTGTATTAGCTCCTGTGATTATGACTGTTTTGTCATCAAGACGTACAGAAGAGCTCCACTGACCACAGAAGACATTTCTGGAATTGATTACAGAGCAAATGTTTATACTATGTAATGAACACATTTTTGGTGGATTGTGAAGTAGTACAGGAGAGCGGGGCTAGTTGTCACATATGGAAGCTCGTTTCTGACACAAGCTTTTTGCTCGCATTTCAGAATTTATAGCTTTTTCCTTTTTTCCTCAGAATTGTGTTTTTTTTGCAATTCCGAGTTTTCATCTCACAATTCTGAGTTGTTGTGGGGGGTTTTTTTCCAGCTTATTTTTTATCCAACTCTTTCTTGCAAAGCATGTAGGCCTACATGGTTTATGATATACATTTTTGTTTTGTACATGAGAAAAATAGGATTTTACTGTACAAGAAGAGATAACAAATAAATAAACAGATACATAAAAACATAACATGACATAAAAACAACAACAAAAGCAATATATAAAGAACAGCAGCGTTAGACGGGATCTTAATAGACAGAAAGTATTATAAGTATTATAAATGTATAATATATGCTCAAAAACACTGCCCCAAAATCTCACCCAAACCTTTCATTAAAAGTTTCCATTTCTCAGTAAACTGACTCTTTTAGAGTCTTAAACTCTGTATATTAATCTTTTCCATCACGTAAATCTCCCTCACTGTCCATGACCATTCCTCAAGCATTAAAGCAACAGTATGTGCATTTTTTAACCTTGAAATAGGCCTATCAGTTTCAAAATCATTCTGTTGGTACCCTGACTTCTAATAAGGTGAATGGCTTCTCTTTCCCACGCTCTCCTCCCCAAACGTGTTCTGAATATGTAAGTTTGGTGAGCGGTAAAAGGGTGTATTGCATTACTGCAGCTACAAATGCATGTGTACAGCTATACATTGCAATTGTCAAAGAATTGTTTTAAAGATGCACAAAACTACAGTTGATTTACATACAGTCTACAAAAAGTACTGTGCATTTTCATTGTTATTGCTCAGGAATGAAGATGCAATTAAGTCAACCCAATTGTGAGGCACACTGTCACACTATTTTATTGTAAGTTTCTCAAATTAGACTGCTAGTTAAAAGCTTTTATTATTAATTCACGAAACAGCATAAATATAAAAAAGTACGATTCAAACACACCACATTGTTGTGACCAATAAGTAATGCAGCCTACTTAATAAATGGTATACATCTAAAATTGTATTCGGTTTAAAAGGGTTTTGGAAGTTGTTCAACTAACATGCAAACTCCCTGTCAAAACACATTTATGTAATGACTCAAAACCTGAGACACAGCCCTTATGACTACTTCCCCATGTGACAATTAGCCCCATTCTCACATATTTAATTATTAGATCAGCCAGTATTATCCAAAATTTGATAGTATATGTACAGTAGAGAGTGAGCATTTTAGCATATTTTCAAAACAATATGAAAACAATATGAAGACTTTGATAAAGAAAAAGTTGTTAATTTTAGTAGACTCATTCATGACACCAGCATTGCTTACCTTATTGAGTGCATTGTTCCAATACTGTCCGGTTTCCCTCAGCAGACAGTAGTGCTCTACTCTAGAGTCCTGTGTAATTTATGAATGAGATATTACTATGCGATCCGGATCCAAGCCCCTCCCGTCCAGAGCTCTGTCCTCCGGCCAATGAAACGCGTCTGACTTCAAAATGAGCAACGCGATGCGCTCGCATGAATGTGCTCGCTGTGATGGCTTTGAACCCCAAGGAAGGAAGCTTTGTTCAATTGAATCTCTTTTGCAAGGTTGGACATTCCGTTACACGTCACCCCACTTAAAAACAAGCCCAATTGTGCAAAAGCAGTGACTGCGCACGTCCACTAGATGTCCTCGCTGCGTCAGTCTGGTTTTTCTCTACGAACACAATAAACACTAACAGTACGTCTTACTCAAGAGATGTAATATCGTTTACATTTAGATACTTTATTAAGTGACTGTAAATCGTTCAGTGAACCACTTTTTTTCTATCTGTCTACTCTTGTGCACCTACAGTCCAATTACACTAGGCTACTTACTCAAATTAACCATGTTTTAACTACAAATAAAAACAAAAAACCAAGGTTACTAGAGCTAAACCATGGTAACCACAACTTAACCATGGTGTTTGTAGTAAAACTGGTTATAAATGTTAATCAATGCGCCAGCATGGTTAGTACTTTTACTACAATAAAAACATGGTTAATTTTCGTAAAGGAATGGTACAGTAGTACTATTCCCTTCACTCCATTCCAAGACGCTTCTGCCTCATTAACACAACTACTGTATTATTAAGCTTTCATATTTACTTCTGCCAGTGTTTAGTAGGCTAGTCTTTTTAAATGCTTTAGCTATGCTGACCTTATTTCGTTTTCAAATGACAATCAACTCATTTGGACTTTTTCCCCAAGAAAATAGATTATGCAGAAGTTAGGCAGTATGTTCCAGAAATCACAGTAGGATAACTTTCAAAGTATCTCAAAGAGTCAATACAAACAGCAAGAATATAACCAATTTTGTCAAACGAAGACAGAGAGGGCTTAGCTGGGTCAAAACTGAGTCATAATAAATCATAAAAAAGGCCATTATTATGATATAATTCTGTGGTTGAAGTCATAAAATCTCATTTCCAGCGAATTCCCAGCAGGTGGCAGCTGACAGCCCACAGTCTGCTAGCAGTGTTGTCGTCGTTAGCGGCCCTGGAGCATGGAGCCATGGCACAGTTACTGTGAGAAGTCATGAGAGGAAATATTTATTAAGCATTCCAGCAGTTCATTTGCTTGCGGTCAAATTTAGCACCACTAGTGCAAAATAAAAAACATGTGAACAATGCTGCTTATAGGAACGATGGCCACTATTATTTCATGAGCACGACTAGCATCCGTCATAGTAGTTAGTAGTAACCTGTAGTAGGCTCCAGTAGGCAGGTCAGGGGTGAGGGCACAGTACAGGGTGGTATATGCGCCCTCCTCAGGGGTTTTTATCAGGAAACCAAATGTCTTCACAAAGAACTGCAGGGACTTATTCAAATGCCTGATGATGTCTGTCTTCACTAGGCCTGGATCCACAGCATAAACACTCACTCCCATCTCTGCCACAGAAAGACAGTTAGAGAAATCAAACGCTAACCTTGCTTTATTTTCAAAAGAATGCACTTATTGCCTTAATGAAGAATGTTTGTGGCTAAAACATGTGACATTCAAGTTAGGATATCATACTGATGAATTAGCAATGCATTTGAAACATGATAGTATTTATTCACACTTGTGTGGTTTTTCATACACTGAAAATGAATGAGAGCCATTGACAGTTTGGACGCTAGTTGTTGTTTTTCACAGATTAAACATCGAAGGTTGCTAAATCGTCATACGTACATCCCAGAATCAGATTTTTGGATCACATTTTGAAAGTTTTATGCCTTGCTCTTACCTTCCGCTCTCGGGGCGAGCTCTCGCGTGAAAAGTATGTTGGCCACTTTGCTCTGTACGTAGGCCTTCACGGGATGATAGCTTTTCTCACTGTTCAGGTCCTCAAAGTGGATCTTTCCCATGTGGTGGGCCAATGAGGAGACATTAATCACTCTGGAAGGAGCTGAATGCTTCAACAGATCCATAAGGAGGAATGTAAGAAAGAAATGTCCTGATGAAGAAAAGGAGTCATTCATCACACGTCAAGTGTGAACAATCTCCATTGCTTCTAAACAACAAATAATGACTCTTTATAGACTTTGAAAGAAAGAGAACGACTAGTGCACTTCATCAAACCTAAATGATTGACTCCGAACTGTGACTCGAAACCATCTGCTGTTGTTGAATATGGGCACATTGCCACGCCAGCGTTGTTAATCAGCAAATGAAGAGACTTTTCAGCTAAAATAAAATCAATCCTTTTAAGATCAGATCAGAATTGAATGTGTGATGTATATAGAAAAATGTTCTTAATCCATAACTCACTGTTGTAAATCAGTTCAGCAAAATCACAGATGGATCTGGTGTCTGCCAGGTCCAGTTTCCGAACCACCACGTTTGCATTCTCCACGTCTCTGCTTATGTCACCAGCCACCTGTTCGGCCTTCAGCAGGTCTCTGCAGGCCAGGATCACTCGTGCACCTTGGGATTATTGACAAGTTTTGTTCCATTAGTTGAAAAACTGGTACATTCTTCTGAGCAATTTCAGGAAAAACTTATTCTGGTTTGGATAGGTCTATCAGTCAGATCTAATATATTTAATCTGTTTTCATCTGTGGCTCTATGAAAAGAAGGCCCGATGTGTTATTTCCACAGTCAGTGTCGATTTGGCCGCAGTACCCACCCCGCATTGCCAGATCCTTGACTGTTTCTTTCCCAATCCCGGTGTTTGCTCCAGTCACTATAGCAGTTTTTCCATCTAAACGAATATCGGATGACCAGCTTTTGGTGAAAAGCCCTCTGAAAATAGTTTATTTATTACATTTTTAATAGCAAGGTGTGTGATAAAAAAGAAAACAGAAAAAAAGGAAAGAAAATCTATCCATTTTAATAGCATCATTTCTGACATAAAGAATTGAATGCACTATGCATATTAAAATAGAACATGTTATTACATGTTAATTTTCATGTTATATGTATAGTTTTAATAATGTCTTTAATACTACAACTACTTCTACTACTACTACTAATAATAATACATGATAAATTATATAATAAATTATGGTGGAAAGATCTCCAAAAAGTTTGTATGTATGTATTTAACATTTTAATAGCATAATTTCTGTCAAAAAAAGATTCAAACAGTGCTGAAATGATACTTTTGAAAGACAGACTTCAGATTATCATCATATACACTATGCATATTAAAAAAGACTGTAATGTTATATGAAGAATTTTAATAATTTCTTTACTACTACTACTACTACCAATAATAATAAATGACATAGTTAATAACAAGATACTGATGAAATGAAAAGCACCTTACCTTAAGACATTCATGTTCCCAACAGTCTTATTACATGTCAACCAGCAAGAAGGGTCTTCTTCAAAGCTACTCATGATACTGAGTGTCATAATAAATGCTCAAATGTCATTTGTACTTGAATAAGGAGGACAGAAAATCCCCTTTCCTTTCCTGAGGTCAGAACAAATTGATCGTATTTTGCATGCAAAATGTTCTTTATATTCTGCATGTATCTGAAAGGCCATGCTGCTAAATAAAGCTGTTTATGTGACCTGCTGGTTACACTCACTGAAGATATTCCAGGAAACTCTTACGCTAAATGATCCCCACTGGCAAAATGATTCACTTGATTTTGAAGGACTTTCCTTCTTATAACACTAAATCAATAGCCATATTTTTGTCAAAGACACTGCTGTTTTATTTCACATAAACATCCTTAGGCAACCACAGCTGATTTGAGTGAACCTTAAAATGGCCAAAAACTACACACCGATGCCAGTGAGTGTTGTTCGATCTTAAATGGTGGGAAACTCGGTTCAGTTTTTCCATCTTCAAAAATCAGGTAATTTCCAGCCAAGCCAGAGGAGCACCTGTGTCCAAACCTGGGGTTCTCCCGTCACCCGATAGCTCATGATCTGTTTGGACAGGACTGAGTCTGTGACATGTTAGGATCAACTGATACCTCAACAGTGACCAAGGGAATATGGAATGATCCATCGCTCTTTTTCAGTGGTCTTCCCCCAGATTCCCAATTCTCTAGATAAGAACTGTCATATTCAGTTAGTCAATGTGGAATCAGTGGATGCTTAATGAATGAAAATATATTGATCTTTAAAATTTTGGGTCAATAAGTTTTTGTTAATTCTTATATTTAAGGATGCATTAAATGTATTAAAAGTGACAATAAAGACATTTAGAATGTTACAATAGATTTCAGCTGCCTGGTATATATTCAAATATTATTAAATAAATGCTGCTTTTTTGACCTTTGTAAGAAACCTGAAAAAATGTATCACGGTTTATAATATATATAGTCTAAATATATACATTGAGAATAAATAAATATTTCTTGAGCACCAAATCAGGATCAAGTTAAAAAAGAAATTAATAAAATTAATTAATTAATTTAAAAATCTGAGCGACCCCAAACTTTTAATTTTTAAAGTTTTTTTTTTTTTTTACTTTTTAAAGTTAATTTTAAAGTTGTAATTTTAATGAAGTTATTTTATTTATTTATTAAACATCATATCATAATGTCTGACATAAATAAATATGTGTGTGTGAAACTATGTAATAATATTATTATAATAAATGATCAATATAAATGATAAATGATACATATTTTTGGTGAAACTCCTCTGAAAAGATTTTGTTCGGTTGGTTAACATTTTTAATAGCATAATTTCTGACAATTAAATCATATATTAGAAAGAAAGAGTTAATTTTAATGTTATATATCATGTATAGTTTATAGTTTATATATAGTTAGACTACTACCGCTACTATTAATAATAACTTAAAATAGAAACATTATTATTATTTGTGAATATCCTTCTGAAAAGTGTTTGTTTGTTTAACATTTTTAATTTTATAATTTCTGTTAGAGTTAAGCAGTGCTGAGATAATAGACAGACTTTGAATTGTTATATATGAAGAATATCACAAATAATGAAATATCTTAATAAACAAATACATGTTTCTAACCACCCATACATATACTGATGCCTAAATTAATGATTTAATTTACATGTATTTACATATGTATCTTTCTAGATATATTCCTTGTGAACGCTATGACAAATGAATTAAAAACCTGCAAACTGTACAGACAAACAAACTAATTTGAATTGAACATTAATAATAACATTGCAATGGCATATAAATTAATTTTGAAAGCAACATTTTGTCTTTAAAATGTCAGGCTTACTATTTTTTCTGTAAATAGATATGCCTTTATATTGAATCTAATCATCATTTTGGCAAAAGTTGAATAACCCCTACTCTTCTTACAGAAGCGTTCCACTAGATGGCGCGACACTTCAACAGTCATTGCTAGTCACGAGTCACCAAATGTGCCTGAGGTTCTTTGAGCAGAACCACATTAAAACCAGTCAGAACCAGTGTTGCCAACTTAGCAATTTTGTTGCTAAATTTAGCAACTTTTCAGACTACCCTAGCAACTTTTTCTTCCAAAAGCACCTAGCAACAAATTGAGCAATTTTAAACATTTATTTGAAGTGAAGTGACATGTGGTCAAGTATGGTGACCCATACTCAGAATTAGTGCTCTGCATTTACCCATCCAAAGTGCACACACACAGCAGTGAACACACACAAACCGTGAACACACACCCGGAGAAGTGGGCAGCCATTTATGCTGCGGCGCCCGGGGAGCAGTTGGGGGTTCGGTGCCTTGCTCAAGGGCACCTCAGTCGTGGTATTGAAGGTGGGAGAGAGCACTGTAGAGATTCACCCCCCCCACCTACAATCCCTGCTGGTACGAGACTCAAACCCACAACATTTGGGTTATGAGTCCGACTCTCTAACCATTAGGCCACGACTTTTGGCAACTTTTAGCAACTTTTGACAAGGACTCAGACAATAAAAAGGCACACATTGTCCATCCAAATTACCACAATGCGTAATTTAAAATACAGGTAAAAAAAACATTACGGAAAATTCTTTTATATTAACAGTAGATTGTGGCTTATTTTTACAGACGTTTCTTAGAGTGTAGCATACTAACTAACTACTAATGCACTGCTTAAAGCATAATTGTTGAGAATGTATAGAGTTTACAAGCTACTAAAAAAACTTAAATTGTAACCATTTAAAAATGTGCAAGTTTTCAATAATTCAATGTATTTAAAAATACAGTTATTTATATTTTAATATTATATCACGCATATTACTTTAAAAACAAATCTAAATGAACATATCTAAAATATATTTTTTGCTGAGGTTTGATGATGTGACAATTTTGCGTCGTGATTACGCAATGACGTCATTGAGCAATGACATCACAACGTCATTTAGCAACTTTTAGCAACAAATCGACCTTCCTTTAGCAACTTTCTCTGAAAATTAGTTGGCAACACTGGTCAGAACTTCCTGCTTTGGCAGACAGAACTCAACAACACTTATCCAGTGTTTGTTTCTGTTGCCATCCCAGACTCATGATTATTCCAATCACAGCTAAACATCCAGCAGCCTTCGGTGGAATTCTCACCTCACGCGGCTCCTGAGTATATGTTTGCACTGAGCTCACGACAGCTGCTAGCCATTCACCGCTATTTATAAAGGCTTTATGTCAACATTGGTTTTGCTCGAATACAGAGGTTTTGCCGCACAATCAATAAACACTGCTTATCACTAAACCAAATACCTTTCTCATACCATCACTCTCATTTAAGGGAAAGCAATTGTTTCATACAAACAAGCTTTATTTACAGTAATGGGTGGAGAAAATCACTACTCATGTATCAGAACATCGATTTTCAATCATACCTATGATGAAAATTACAGGCCTCTCTCATCTTTTTAAGTGGGAGAACTTGCACAATTGGTGGCTGACTAAATACTTTTTTGCCCCACTGTATATATATATATATCACTGCTCCAGTCAGACTGACTTGTCGGGTTAGCGGCACAAAATCGGCACGATAAATAACCAAAAAATGATTAACATTTACAAATTATGTTTAAAAAAAAATATTTAACACCACAAATCAACATCCCCATTTCTCATTTCCATGTTACTAACTTTTAACCATCATCCAAAAACGGTTCTCGACATGAGGTAGCCTACGATGTGCTTGCTCGGTTTCAGAAGGCCAAGAGAAAGGGACAACGAAAAGCATGGTGCTTTTGTTGTGGTGGATGTGTTTGTGCTTTATCTGGCTGTGTTTTCATCGTCTTTGGCCTGAGTTTGGCTTCTTGTCGCACCAAGCCGCTCTTTATTTGGCTCCTCCACATAGAGATTCTCTGAAAATGAGACATTCTGGGGTCAATGTTCTTGACTTTTACTGTCATCCGATCTATTAGAGTGAGATCCTGTCAAAGCTGACTGACAAAAACTGACAAGATGTACCTAATTTATATGATATAAATACGTAGGTCAACAAATGCATAGCATTTTTCATGAAATAGCACTCTAGTTGCTATAAAGGCTGTTGTACGCCCATTATTAATCAATAGTTATCATTTAAAAAGGAGGCAAAGTCAATTCCAGTCTAGTAGGAAATGTTTGCAGCTTTTTATTTCTGCCAGGACCAGTCGTTGGACATTTCCTGCACGGGCAGGTTTTTTTCTAGGTGTCCGTTCCTGCGCTTGGCCTGCGGTGTTGTGGTTATGTTAGATTTGGGCTCGCTTTGAAAACTGTCATCGTTGGATTCTTCCTGAACCGGGCAGCTGAAGGGTTCGTCTGTTCCTCCGCTGCTCCCCAGTGACGTCTGACTGACGTACACCACGATGACCTCACCGCTGAAGTTCATCACCTGCCCGCTGGAGATAAAAGTAGTGTTGTTGTTTCCTGTCACCTGACCTGCCAAAAATAGACAACGCATCAGAACCAGTGTTAGAGGAAAGTGGCAGATTTCCATGAACTAAATATTCATTCCTTTCCTGGAGACAAATTAACACCAGTGTTATTTTAGTATCATTTATTTATATTTTTACTTTTTTTTTCTTTTAAGCAAATTTTTTTTGTAATTTTGTTGTGTTTTTGTTATTTTTATTAGTTTTTGTTTTCTTTTAACGTCTATACAGTTTGTATTATTGTATTATTTGTATTTTATTTGAGTTTTTGTTTATATTTTGTTTTGTGTTTTATTTTAGTCTTTGTTTCCTTTTTTTTATTAAGTTTTATTTTTTAAGTTATTTTAGTCATTTTTATATTTTCCGTCTTCATGCTTAATTTAGGTAAAGTTTTGGCAATTTTATTGTGTTTTTGTCACTTTTATTAGCTTTAAATTTTTTAGTATGTAATTATTTTAGTATTTTTTATATTTTCTGTATTCATTTGAATTTGAACGTTTTAGCAATTTTGTTTTGTTTTTGTAATTTTCATTAGATTTAGTTTTTTAATATGTCTATATCGTTTTCATTAAGTTTTACCTTTTAGTTATTTTAGTAATTTTTTTATATTTTCTGTTTTAATTTTCATTTTAGTTATAGTAATTTTGTTTTGTGTTTGTGTTTTTTTAATGTCTATACAGTTTGTATTAGGTTTTACTTTTTATTTTAGATCTTTTATATTTTGTTTTGTATTGTTGTACTTCAACTGTAACTTAACAAAAATGAGCAACATTTTAGCAACTAGCTGAAATAAAATAAATATATGTGTGTGTGTGTGTATTAGTGCTGTCAAACGATTAATCGCGATTAATTGCATCCAAAATAAAAGTTTTTGTTTACATTATGTATGTATACTATGTATATTTATCATGTAAATATGAATATTCACACATGCATATATATATTTAAGAAAAATATGTTACATTTATATATATATATATGATATAATTTATATAAAAATAAATGCATACATGTAAATATTTTCAAAATATATGCTGTATGTGTGTCTTTATATATACATAATATACTGTGTGTGTGTACTGTGTATATTTATTATGTAAACAAAAACTTTTATTTTGGATGCAATTAATTGCGATTAATCATTTGACAGCA